ATTTAATTTTATTATAATATTTATATATTTAATGATATTTCTTATTTGCTTATTCAATTTTATGAACGATTATATAATATTTATTTAATATTTATATTTATATTATATTATATAATATAATTATTTTATATTATTTATTTATATATAATAAAATTACCTAATATATAAAAGTGCAGATGATAAAGATGCTGAAAAAGGTGTATATGATATTTGAATAGTTCTTGATTCAGAAGGTTTTAAATATAAAGGAATTGATTGTGATGCTATTGTAATATCCCATTCTCTTTCAAATCTTTCTTTATCTGTTATATTTTCTTCTAGTTTGAATTCTTCTGCAATTGTAGATCCACATTCTACACATGTGAATTTAAACCTATATATAAAAGCATATTAATAGATATGATATATAAGTGATATCTTATAAATTTTTTTCTATTCAAAGAGTACATACTTAGCAGGTAATGAATGATAAAGTCTCGTTCCTTGTGGATAATTCCAATCCATAACTAATTGTATTATTAAAGGATTGATGCTTGGATTATATATTTTAATTGTGTTATGAGATGTATTTCCAATTTGTGTCAAAGGAAATACTAAAGCGACTTTATTTTTACTATTACCAAAACCAGTCAATAAACTGGGCCAATGTGGTTTTATATTCAAATAAAATTTGTGCCCACGAACTTCTGTTGTATCTAAGCGCATCGTAACATTATCCCAAGAACGACCGCCTGTAGAATTAAGAAAACGTGTGTATCTAGTATTTAATAAATTTAAGTCAGAATCTCTTGTATGTGAAGGAAGGGCCAAAGTATTCAACCACTGTTTACCAGCTGCAATAGAATACAAAGAGAATTTTTAAATAATATATTTAAATATTAATTAAACGAAAAAAATTGTATTTAAATAGCATTAAATTAGAAATTAATAATATAAAAGCATATAACAGAATAATTAATATACCATTACTATCCAATGACAAGCCTAAATAACAATAATGTTTGCATGTCACTGATGGTTCAATTCTTACTGAACCAATATAATTTTCACCTTTTGTTATAACAGGCATTGATGCTTCTTCTAAAGGTATATATTTTATTCTATTATCTTTATTTATAGATGTGATTTGAGTTACTTGCATGGGTTTTACAAATGTTGAATATACCTTAACTTGCTGTACGCAAATTGACCCCTGCAAAGTTATTACAATAAAAAAGATTAAAAAAAGAAATTTTTATAAAAAATCTTTTTGTGATTACATTTACGAAATATTTATAATTATTTATAATTACGAAATATTATAATTATTTACAGGAAAACAATCCGTAAAAATAAGTTTTTTCAGAGAAATTCTTCCGTGTGCAACACGCATGTAAACTGGTAAAATAAATCTTTCATAAGTCGTTCTAACGAATACATCACCTACAATTGTATCTTCCTCGACTATTGGAGTTTTTACTTTAATTTTAAAAATAGCTAAATGACCAGGTTTTATGTATTGCTAAAATTAAATAATTAAATTTTATTAATCTTACAATTTATAATTATTAAATTATTATAAATATTTTTCATAATTATTGTTATTTACATTGCCTGTATGACTGCATACAGTTATATTACGAAGTTCTTTATCTAATAAATCAGCCGGACCTCTTTGACAACCCATAAGTTCTAACACTGCACCAGGCATATTAACTCCCCATCCATGTAAATCTATGTTAATTGGATTTTGATTTTCCAAAGCAAAAATAGCCTCGTTTTCAGTTCCACTTCCCACAGTACCAAAATTCATTGTACCCTCATCATTTTCTCGTTCTTCAGGAACAATTTTTCTTACTTTTCCATCATAACTTAATAATGGAACTTCCGTCACAGAAACATTTGAATGAATTAAAATTGATGATTCCATTTTTACATTATCAGTTTTCCTATCTTTTGCGAGTTGTAATGAAAATATATTCACTTTTTGTTCTGGTTTTATTACTCTTGGAATAAAATTTTTTATCTATAAAATTAGAAATTTATACTTTCAATTTCATAATAATTTGTTATTAATTTTATAACTATTTAATTAGTTATAATTATATTAATTAATTATAGCAATAATTATTTATAATGAAGTTTAAATAAACTACATTATTATAATTTTAATTTTCAGTAAAATTTTTTCTTGAAATTCTGTATTATCATTTAAACTTTAAAAAATCCACTTACTGTAAAAAGTGTTTTTACATGTGATGACATTGTGACATTTGTAATAGCTAATGGTAATTTAAATTTATTAACAACGCTAAAATTTCGTGTTTGATTAGATTGGAGAGAACAATAATGCGTAATTGATGCGTTTACTTCTAATCCACCTTGTAAAACTTGTGCTATCCATGGGATTGTTAATTTTTGACTAGAACCACCCGAACCTATAGCTTTTATCACTAATTTTCCTTTAAAATGTTGTAATTCTAAACCAGTCTTCCCTAAAATCAAATATATATATCTTATTATATAATAAACAATATAAATATATCTTATTATATAATTTAAAATTACATACAATCATAAATTAATGCTCCTATAGCAATTGGTATATCGGTATCTCCTGGAATTACCGCTTGCTCGAAATGAAGTTTTAATGCTTTAGAAACTGGCGTACTAATTATATTCTACAAAATATACAAAGAATTACCATTAATTAAATATAAAAAATTATTGTATGTAAGTAAACATTATATATATATATATATCGTAAAATAAATAATTTTTTAATTAAATATTTTAGAATTATTTACCATAACTTTTATTGGTTTTTTTGCTGAATTTTTCAAAGCAATAGGATATTGAATAGGAGGTTGCAATGAACCTCCCATACCTAAATTAATTACTCCAGAACTCCCACCCCAATGAAGACCAGCACCACTTTTTACTTCAACTTCAACTGTTACAACAAGTACTTCTGATGTATTATTTATTTTAAGTCTGTAATTAAGAAAAATATTAATAATTAAAAATGATATATCTAAATAATATTAATAATTATTTAAAATAAATTAAAATCAAATTTATCTGTATATATTTTATATACATAATGATACAAACCTAATATATGCAGTATGATTCTTTTCTGTGTAAGCATTAAAATGTAGTCTTATGATAGGTTTTGTTTGATATGGTGGGATTTCCCATAGCTCACGTGATCCTTCTGCTTCTCCTGATGGCAATTCTAATTGAAATTCTCCACCACTACTATATACCTCTAATACCTTTTTAATTAAATATAAAATACAGATAATTGAATATAAATAAATAAATAAATTAAAATTTTTAGTATAAAAAATATAAATATTAAATACCTACTTGTAAAGCTTCTGCATGTGGATTGTGCATATATATAAGTGGAGTAAATGTTGCATTTAAAGGTAATTTAACACCTACTACAGGTCTGAGTCGATATGGACTACTAACACTTATTCCTTTTACCTGAAAAAGAATTCTTAATAAAGAAAAATATATTTAGAATTTGCAATATATATAACATATTATATAAATTGGTTACTTGATATTTCACAGTTCCATCTGCTGTATGTATAAAAAGATGTGTATCAATGTCACCTTCTTCACGACCAAGAAAGACAACATCAAATGTTGTGTTCCTCAATGGTGGAATTACCTATACAAATCAAATTATAATAATGTGTAAAACTGATTGAATTTTATTTCTATTTTGCATGATTTTATAATTTTATTTACTTTAATTTATATAAATAAATAATTTTTAAAATAATTATAATAAATAAATATATATAATAAAATAATATAATATAATTATTTAGTTGATCTTTTTAAATAGTCTCTTTAAATATTTTCATATTTTTCGAAATTTAAATGGAAAATTATACAATGAAAATTAACAAATAAATAAATTTTATATAAATAGATAAAATTTTAAATTAAATAAATCATTTCATTATGCTTTATATATCTATATATTATTACATATAAAATATTTACATTCACATATATTATTTATATCAAAACAAAAATTATTTAATATTTAATTATTTAATACTACATAAAAATTTGTATCATAAAGAAACTTACTTTATTTCGAAAGAATGATGAATGGAAATGACGTGTATTTCCAGATATTGATAAAAGGTGAATTGTTTTGTTATGATCTCTATTAAATAAGATCACAGTTTCTTGGTGGGGTATACCAAGTTGTCTAAAGAAGAAAAAATCCATAATATCCATTATATCCATCCATTAATCCATTATATGAATATTCATTTATATTAATATGATATAAAATTAAGACTTATGTACCTCTCTTTAAAGTCCAAAATATGTGGTTCAAAATAAACATAAGATAATGAATCTTGTGTTTTATCTTCTTCTGATGTTGTATCTCTTAAAAAAGTAAGTTTAAAATTTTAGTATATTGAATAATAATTTTTATAAATATATTTATAATAATTAAAATTAAAAAATAGAAAAGATATGAAGGAAAGTAATTTAAAATCATCACAATAAAGAAATATATAATAAAATATAAAATTTGAAAGCAATCATTTAAATATGCAATATTATTTTAATTAAATAAATAAATAATAAAATTGGCAAAAATTATTATATAATATAATAAATATATATGTAATATTCTACATTTTGAATTACATTTATGTATTTTTCATAGTATAATATTAAGAAGAATTTAAAAATTTTTAATTATTTTTTATATACTATATATAGTAAAATCAAAACAAAAAAAAAATTATAATAAAAATCTTTCCTGTTTTTATTTAATATTATTGTATTTATAATGAGTATTTCATTGTGCTTACCCAGTTCCCTGTACTGTATTAGTAAAATCCTAAAAGAAAAATTTAATATTATATATTTATAAAATTATATTTATACACTAAGAAATATATTGTATTAAATAATATATATTAATATATGTTAATTATTATATTAGAACATTTAAAAAGAAATAATATTTGTACTAAATTTCTGATATTTTCTGTATTTTTTTATCTATCTTTATTTTGAAAATTTCATCATAGAATAATATAGAATAATTTTGTTTATAAATACTTATTTAATTTAAGAATTTTTATTAAATTTTTATAATATAATATTTTTGATTTTATTAATTCAACTAACCTTATGCATAGATATTGGTATGTTGTCCAAAAGATATTGAACATCATTGTCATCCTGTACGAAGGCTATAAAAAATATTAAATAAATTTATTAATTTTCATATATGATATATTTTACAAAAAACATATTAATCTAACTACATTATAAATTGCATAATATTATTTCAAAAACTTATAATTTGTTTTGATATATAGTAACAATCATTATTTAATTATTATTAATTATTAATATGAAATGTTATTGAGCATATATTATATTTCTATATGGTTGAGTTTCTTTGCATATATATAACATAAAATTTTTACAAATATTTTCTTTTTTATGTTTTAATTCACAATGTCATATTAATATTTTATTATTAAAATATATTAATAAAAATATCATAAATATTGTACATTTCTGTCATTCTAATTAATTAATATATTTATAATATGAAGATAATTACAAAAAATTATAATTGCAAAAAAAATTATTTCTGTATAAATATTAAAATTAATTTATATTTTAACAACGCAAAAAAAAAAAACTATTAATTAACATAATGTATAGTATTTTTATAAACAAGTAAGTATAAATCTTTCAATTTTCTTTAAAGAATAAGAATTTGATGACTTTTGAAAAATATAAAACGTAATGTTAATACAAAATTATATTTTAAATAAAGAATTCTTAATAATTCATTGAATAACAACACAGAAACATCATTTAAGATATGTATTATTGTGATAGAAAGAAGATAATTAAAATAGTATAAATATATACTTACCATTATTGTGCCCATGTAAGGACGGTCGAATTTGTGACGTCAACTCGAAAAACGTTAACAAGACGATACAATAAAGTACTTTTAACTCAGTCATAATAATAGTTTCACTGTGTTGTTTGCTGTTTTGTCTTTAGCAGAAATGAAAATCCGCTTTCGGCCATACTTCTGTCAGTATCGAATTCTGAAGTATCGATTGTACTTCCGTCCAATTTGAAACCTTTCTACAGGTAAATTTCGTGTGACTAATTCTGACAAAGATAGATTATATATACTATCTTTTATTGTTATGTCAATGTATAATTAATATTTAATTTCTAATTTTTATATTAATTTCTTAATTAATTTACTTTTTCATAAATGATTTAAGTTTCTCAAAATGATCAAACAATTGTGTCTTTATTCATTGATTATGACTTTTCATCAAATAAAATCACAATTTTATAATTAAAATTAATTTTTGACTCTATTTTGAAATATGTATTATTACTTTACTATCTTATGTTTATATATACATTGATTTTTTAAACTATATTGAATGAGTATAATGTACATTCAGTTCTTTATTTATATATTTGAATGAATTTATTTTATATAATTTTCTTGATTTATACATTGAATATGTAAAAATAAATTATAAATAACATTTTATAATTTAATATAAACTATCCAATCACGTTACATTAGTTACATTATATCATTACTAGTTTTTCAAATACTTTACTATTTAATATTTTGTATTTAATATTTAAAATTAAAATTAAAATTATTTTTTAAATTTATAAAAAAATATAGAAATATAATCGTTATATTTAAGAATTACTATATTTTAGAAGCAATATTATTATTATTTAATTTATTGTAAATTTTTAAACTTGAGTTTTATTTATATATAAAACTATTCTTATACTTGTAATACACGTGGCACTCTTAACCTAAAAAGTAAACGATTCTAATATAATGTTAGTAAAATTATTTTATGTTTCATAAAATTGTAGATATCGGAAGTTTATTTATAAAAAAAGTTTTAATAATTCAGAAGTAAACATTCAATATGCGGAATATAAGTATGTAATGTATATAATAAATTTTAAGAGATTATTATTAAGTTAATACATATTATAAATGAAATAGGTAGAACTGACAAGAAGAAACTTTCTTGGATATATAGAAAGAAAACAAAATTACAAAAATCAAACGAATCAACACAAAATATAACTGATAATATAGATGAAAATAAGAAACCTAGAATTATTGTTCGTAATATACCATTTAAGGTTAATGCATTTTTCATTGTATAATAAAATTGTGAAATTTATATTATTATATTTTTATTAAAATATAAATATGTTTACATTTTTTAATTTGTTGTATGATTAGGCAACTAAAGAAGATGTAAAAAAGTTATATGAATCGTTTGGTGAAATTTTAGAAATAAATTTTCCAAAACGTATTGATGGTACATTAGTTGGATGTTGTTTTATTCAATTTAAACAATTAGAAGATGCATCAAAAGCAATATTTAATACAAATAAAAAAGAATTTCTTGGTAATATTTTAATATGAACTATATGATTTTAATATTAATAATTTTAATAATTATTTTTATATATATATAATAATACATTAAAAATATATTTTTAGGTAGAGTAATATCTAGTGGTTGGGCTGTTTCAAAATCAAAATATTGCGAAAAATTGAAAAAAGAATCAGAAAATTTAAATGATAATGATCATGCAGATGAAAATGGAGAGGAAAATAAAAATGAAAAATTCAAAAATAAAGCAAAAAAGAAAGATATTGAAGAAAAAAAGATCAATCTAAACAAGAAAAATTGTTATATGCAAAAAAGGAGAAAAGAAAATGGTTAAAAGAAAAGAATCGAAAGAAAAGAGCAAGAGTTGTAGTTAGAAATTTATCATTCCAAGTAAGATAATTATATTATGGATTATATTGATTTTTCTTTTTAAAAATTTTAATTTTTTATTATGATTGCAGGCAATGGAAGAAGATTTGGAAAAACATTTTTCTCAATATGGCACAATAGAAGAAATTAAAATTTTGAAAAGAGAAGATGGTACAAAAATAGGATGTGCATTTGTTCAATTTGAACATGTACAAAGTGCAGCTAAAGCTATACATTATGCAAATTTAAAACCACTTTTAGATAGACCTATTATAGTTGATTGGGCTATACCCAAAAATAAATTTTCTAAGAATAATTCTGAAAATATAAATCAGGAAGATGAAATAAAAGTAAAAGTAGAGATAGAAAGTGACGTAGAAGATAATATAGATAATATAAAAAAATTAATTCAAATGAAGAATTAAATGTGTAAGTAATTATTTTTATTATTAATTATTTCATTATAATCCATATCTAAAATTATATTTATAATTTTAATATTTATATTTAATGTATAAAATTTTTTATAAAATTAAATCTGAAAGAATATAATTTCGTAAATTTTTTTTTTAATAAATATTTAATATTAAAATATTTCAATTACAGTGAAGATGAAAAACATGATATTGTTACAGAAAATGATGAATTTAGTAGCTATGATTTAGAAGAAGTAGAAACAGAAAATGATGAAAATGATCAAGAAAATGAAGTTAAAGAACAAAAACAGATGGATATAAAGGAATAAAATATCCACGTTTTGAGTCTCACGATGTTTCTGAAGGAAAAACTGTATTTTTGAAAAATGTACCATTTTCTGTAAAGAATCATGAATTAAAAAAATACATGGAACAATTTGGGCCAGTTTATTATGCTCTTGTATGCATAGATTCATTGACTGAATATTCAAGAGGAACAGCATTTGTTAAATTTAAGGTAATATTTTTTTTAAATGTATTCAAATTTTGTAATAAATTTTAAATATGTTATATAAATTTTATGATAGAAAGTTGTAGATGCTGAAAAGTGTTTGTCAGCAGGAAATAAATTGCAAATGGAAGATCAAATACTTGAAGCATATAGAGCCTTAGATAAAAATGAAGTTGAAAATAAAGAAAATTTAAAACAACATAAACAAAAGGATTCTAGAAATTTATATCTTATAAAAGAAGGAGGTAATATTATAAAAAAAAAAATATTTTTATTTAAAGACATTCATAATATATATAAATTTATATATTTTAAAATACAAAAATAGAAATTAATTGATATACAAACTTAAATTTTTTAGTTGTATTAGCTGGAAGTCCAGCTGCTGTTGGAGTTTCAGCAGCAGATATGGCAAAACGATTACAAATAGAACAGTGGAAATCACAAATATTACGAAATTTAAATATGTTCGTATCAAGAGTGCGACTCGTTGTTCATAATTTACCACCTACATTAGACGATTTTAAATTCAGAAAAATTTTTGAACGTCATAGTCTTCCCACTACGATCATTAGAGAGGTATTTATTAGAGAAAATTTAAATTATTAAAATTTAAATATTTAATATGAAATAAATATATAAATATCCAAAATTTTAAAAAAATGCAAGTATTTAAAATAAATTTTATAAAGGCACGTGTTATGCGAGATATAAAAGATGTGGATATTAAAGGAGTGGGAAAATCGAAAGAATATGGATTTATTTCATTTACGAAACATGAAGATGCACTTCAAGCTTTGAGAAATGTAAATAATAATCCAAATATATTTACGTCTAATAGGGTATGTATATAAAATAATATAAATAATAATATAGATATAATATAAATATAAATTTTTACAAATTCTTGTATATTTTTTTTACTTATTTAGAGACCAATCGTGTCATTCTCGATAGAAAATCGGATTATGGTAAATGCTAAGCGAAAGAGACTTGAAAAAAGTCGGGAGAATAATCCTCTTTGGACGGGGAATAAAATGAAAAGAAAAAAAGAAAATACGAATGAAGAAGTTCCAGAAAAGAAATTAAAAACTGAAAATGTAGATGAGTTTAAAAAACCATATGCTGGAATGATTGGAAAACCTGGTGTAAATAAATTGCGATCGAAACATAATTTAAAAACTCAAGCAATAGTGCATAATCGAGCAATAAAAAAAGAAAAAAAATTAAAAAATTATCTAAAAAATTAGATATGAAAAGAAAACAAAAAATTAACGATCAAAATAAAATCAAGGTAAATATTTTTAAAATGTCTATGTTATCTTATTAAATTATCTATATCACATTTTTTGTAGTTTACATATATTTCATATTTTATATTAATTATTGTATTTTAATTATATTTTTTAATTTTAAATTTTTTTTACAGCCAAAACAAAAGACAAAAATAAACCACAATGACATAAATTTGGAGAAACTTGTAAATAAATATAAAGATAAATTAAAATCGATAGAATTGAAAAAATCTAAATGGTATGAATCATAGAATCTAATTAATATATTTCACGATAAAAAAAATTGTATCAAAAATACGACTTCTATACACATATAGACAGTATAGTAATAATATTCAATAAAAAGATCGATAAAAATTGTTGTAATTATTTCATCATTGTTTTTGCATTTTTTATTTTCTACTTTTAATTATAAAAAATTTATAAATTATATATTATATATATATATTATATATAGTAAAAAAATTTAGAAAATAATTTTATAAAGTATTCTAATTTAAAAAAAAATTAAAATAGCAAAATATTTAAAAATTTTGCCATCATATATTCATACAATTATAATTCTTCTAATAATTGATGTTCGATAACGAATAGTAAAATAAAAGTGAATAAAATTATTTTATGAAATGGAAAAAATTAATTTAAATATTGAACCTTTGGTTTAATTAATAAAAAAGTTATGTGTAATTAAATGTAAAAAATTGGTATTATAAAAATTTTTAATTATCGTAAATATATAGAAATAATAGAAATAAAAATAATAATATGCATGAATTTGATAAAAATTTGATGAATTATCATTTACTATTATTACCCATTTACTATCATTTTAAAAATTATCTTTCACTTTAATTACATAACTTCGGAATTTAATAACGGTAATAATAACTATTTTAATAGTTAACGGAAACTCTTGAAGAATAAAAGGGCAGGTTGCGCACTTGTCTCGAACGAAAGTGTTCCCATTCAAAAGTGGTTCGTCGTGCATGATACATGTATATACATTGTCAAGTTAAATAATAATAGTAGATAATTATGAATTTTGTGTCACTAAATCTTTAAAAAATTAAAGATTAATTGAAATAAATAATAGTTTATTTGCTAATGTGGCTCGTGTTTTTGATATAAATAAATGTACAAATAAATAAATATTTTGTAATATTGCGAGTGGAATAAAAATTTCATATATTTAAAAGAACTATATTTTTATTTCGGTAAGTATTGAGATTTTTATTAAAATTAAATCTTTATATATTTATAATTTTCATTTAACTTTTTTTCTCTTGCCGAATTTTCTTATTTAACATTATTTTAATCGAACAAATTTTGAAAAATAATCACAAAGAAAATTTAATTATAAAAAAATTTGTATAAAATAAGAAAAATTATTTATTATTTATTATTTTATATACTTTTATTAACTTTTTATATAAATATTTAATTAATGCAACGAAATATTTTTTTTCTTATAATTCCTCTCAAAAATTTTATTTTGCTTACTAAAACTATAATATTCAATACGAACAATTTACTATTTTATGAAATGAGTTCTATGAACAATATTATTAGAAAACACGAAATAATTATGTAGTTAATAAAATCTCATCTGAAAGAGTTTTCGCGATTTTTGTTTTACGCAGAAAATAATCGAATATTATCTTATTAACAATGTAAATAAAAATATGATCTCGAATTATTTTTCAAAAATATTATTTAAAGATAAATATTATTAAATTATATTATAATTTCAATGTTTTTTTAATATAAATATTCGTACACGTATATACACGTATATAGATATCTAGGGTATTAATATATTTGTGAAATATGTTTAAAAAATCGATTCTAAATATCAAAATCGGAATACAAAAGTATCCGATAAATATAGATTAAATTTTATTATATATATTATATTTATATCTATAAAATTATAAACAATTTAATAATTTAATTCATTATTACACAATTATAAATACGATGGTGTAATGGTGATATAACAGTTTTATTTTATTTTTTACTTCATTTTCTTTCGTATAACATAAATTTCAATTGATTATAACTTAATAAATAAGATTTAATCGATATTTTTGTATATCAAAATTTTTTTATTCGTTTTGAATCGTTTAGAATTGTTTTAAAATTGATCTTTCAAAAATATCTCACAAATATATTAACACCTTATATATTTTTCAAATTCTAAATGTTTTTCTTGATGAAATATTACTGACCAGTATTATTTCAAATCTCGATATTTTAAATATTTACATTATATTAATACGAATAATATGTATCTATTTCTCTTATCACAACACTTGTTATATTTTAGCGATTTCTCTTAGATATTTTTTAAAATTAGAAACTGCTAAAAAAGCTTCTATCTATAATTTTCATTGTTAATCATTATTTAACAACAATGTCTATGATTATGTTAACTTTACTCGTAGAACAACTCTAATTCAATTTCACTCCTATTTAGTAATTTTTCTCGATCCATTTTTAGACTAAGAATGAAGTGAAAATCAGTACACTGGTGAAAAAGTATATTATGTATGTACTTCCGCTTTAGTAAAAAACGTCTTAAAATTAGTCGCAAGTATTTAAATACGAAAAATAATGACTAATAAATAATAATAGCATAGACTGATGATATCTGTTATTAAATTTTTATGTTGCAGGCTGAAAATGCAAATTTTAAATTGTAAATTCGCCAAATTGATAAAAAACACTGTCAAACAACAACCAAATAATATTATAAAAACACTAGAAACTTTGACAACAGAAGTCGAAGAGCAAGATTGGTCGCGGTGTCGTCCTTATTCCGAAATTCCTGGCCCTAAACCTATACCATTTTTAGGCAACACATGGCGATTTATACCGTTTATAGGTATATCATGAATACGAAATTTAGTTTTCAAATAATTAAATAATATTTCCCATATATTAAATATATTAAAAAATATTTAATTATATTAATAAAAATAATAAAACAAAATAACAAAGAAGAAATCATTTATGGAATCATATTTGTATAGGCACATGCATATACTTATTATATACAATTATAATTATATATTATAATTATATACAATTATAATTATGTTGATTTATTTTGTTCATGTACGAATACGTATGTATAAATAGAATATAAGTATATATATATATATATATATGCGGATATTTTGGAGAATGAAAGTTTTATGTGACCATTTTATATATATATATAACATGAATATTTCATTTCAGGTGATTTCAAAATACAGGCGGTAGATCAAGTGTCGAAGAAATTATATAAACAATTTGGAGATATTGTAAAAATAGAAGGTTTATTAGGTAGACCAGATATGGTGTTCATCTATGATGCAAATGAAATCGAACGTATTTTCAGACAAGAAGAGAGAATGCCATACAGACCTTCCATGCCTTCGTTAAATTACTACAAACATGTGCTTAGAAAAGAATTCTTCAAAGAAAATGCCGGCGTAATTGCTGTGTAAGCATTGAATAATTTTTTTTTTTTTAAATTACTAGAATAGAGTAGTAATTAATTTATTGAATTATTAAATATTATTTAATACAAAGTATTAATAATTTGAATAATTTCGTAAAAATTATTAAAATAGCGTTGAAAATTTCGTTTTCGGAATTTTAATTAATTTTTATTAAATTTAACGAGTAACATAATTTTCAAGGGATATATTAAAAAAAAGATATAAGATCAATATAATATTCATTAATACTTATTAATATAATTCATTATATTCATTAATATAATTAAAAATTAAATAAAATATGCCATGTGCCATTATGAATTCTCACATTTTCATCACGTTTGAAATCTCATTATAAACCACGCATAATGATCAATATTGAAATTACAGATCTTTTAGAGGTATTGCTTAACTTTTCATTTACCATTGGGATAGCAAATATTTGCTGTGAATATTTAACTCGCGCTAAAGCGGTATGTTTGGAACGTGCTAGAATATATGCTTTTATATATGTACACTATGCACTTTATCTAATATGCTATCAACGTTTATGACATACTGTATACACACTTTACCTATCAACATTTATGGCAATATATTTGTTGGTTCAAAAAAAAAAAAAAAAAAAAAAAAGATAGATCTTAACAAAAGATCAGAATAATAATTATAATAAAGATTTTTATATTTATAAAGAAATTTATTGTAAAATTATTATAATAAAAAATATATATATATATATTATAATAAAATTTATAATAATATAATATTATAAATAATATTATTATTAAATTAGGATTTTTATATTTTTCGATGTAGATACAAAAAAAAATTTATTATAATAAAATTTATAATAATATAATATTATAATAATATAATACTTTAGAAACACAATTAAACTATTACTTATGTCATTATTTAACTCTAATTTATATCAAAAGATTAAAACGTAGAAATGTTTTAAAAGATTCAATAAAGATGGATTTTATGTTTATTTAATGTTTTTTGCATGCCATATTGCACTTGCTAGAAGATAAATCTTGTGCAATCGTAATTTTATTACTTATTTCCATATGATAATTTGCAATGTTACAACTATATTATATGTTTCCACATTAATTCTCTTTTTATATCATTCTTGTTTTTCGCGTAATAAAAATTCTCATTACATTCGTATTTTCTACTTATTTGGATACGCTTTCATGTAGTGATATTTTTCTGAAATGAAAATTATATCGGACATAAGTGCTAATTATTATTAAATTTGTCAAAGAAAACGAAAGAAAGAAAATTTTCAAACATAATATGGATACTAATGAAAATTTATTTATTGCAGACATGGTGAGAGTTGGTACAATTTCCGCAGTAAAGTGCAACAAGTAATGTTACAACCGCGAACTGCAAGAATGTACATTAACTCTATGGAAGAGGCAAGCTTAGCGTTTCTTCAAAGGTTTGCCTGAGAATAATCATCTTTATGAACTCAAACTTTCACTTTTCCATTCTGACCTATTTTTATCAATTTTGTTCCAAATAACCGTATCCAATTATATTCAATTCAAAAATTTCTTATGATTTTTTGACCTAATTTAAAAGTATTGTATGTAATTGAATGATTATTTTATAAATTTTATACAGATATATACGAGTATGAAAATAATGTAACGGGCGAAAAGTAATTTTATACGTAAAAATATAAGAAATAAAATTTTTGTTTAACGAACTTTGTTTTCGAAAAAAATTATATTTGAAAATTTCACGAATATTTAAAATCAGTTAAT